CACCGAAGTCACTGCCTGATGCCAGCTTCCCCAGCCCCCTCTCCAGCCCAGCTCCCAGCCCAGATGCCTGTCCCGCTGGCTTCCTCCACTTCCCGTGGGGAGGAGGGGGATGAGGACATGGGGAATGGTGGCACCCTTCTGCCTTTGGCTCCCCTGCCCAGAAGGATCGCTCCCTTGGCCTGCTCTGAAGTCTCTGCCCAAGTCAGGCGGTCAGGAGGTCAGGTGCAGCAGGGGAACCGTTGTGCCCTCTCCGCCCCTCCTTACGCTCTGCTTCATCTCGGCCCCTCACATGAGGTTGCAGCTCTTGGCTCGATCCTTGTGTATCTCGCTCTCGGTCCCGGTCCCCCGGTCCGACCGGCCCACCAGCTGCGCAGGTCTCTGCAGTCCACGGCGTGAGTCAGTACGACGCAGCTGCCTATGGCCACGGCCGAGTGAGGCCACTGTGGCCACATGGAAGACATCCCTGACGCTGCGCTCAGAGGACCGGGAGGAGCACTCCACGTAGGACACAGCGCCTACCTGCTTGGCCAGCACAGTGCCCTGGAAGGATGGAGCATGGAGGCAGTTACGGGCCTTAGCCTGCAGCTCTGAGAGGGGCAGGGAGGCTGAGGGCACGAAGGTGGGAGTGGGGAGATGGGGGGTATGGGGGTCTGGTCAAGGGATCACGTTGGAGGTCAGAGGTCAGAGGCCAGGTAGGGGAGGAGCCAAGTAAGATGTTTTCAAATCAGAGATGGGCAGAGGTGAGAGGTTGAGGCAAGGACTAGGTCAGAGGTCAGGAGTCCCACCTGCTCATGCGTAACGGGGATAAGCCTCTGCTTGGACAGCTCCCTCAGTGTGGCCAGGTCGGTGCGCATGTCCAGTTTACAGCCAACCAGCACGACCTTGGCATTGGGGCAAAACTCCTGAGTCTCCCCTTGCCACTATTTGGGGGAAGAAAACAGTTATGGAGGGGTGGGGTGGGAAGAGGCACATGGTGAACCCTTGCTCCATGCCAGGAGAGCACCCTTCCTCACATCATGCAGAAACCATGCACCCCTCTCGACTCTGCCATGCGAGCAAGAAGGTGGGGATGGTGGGCTTAGGCTAGCAGCAGGATGGGGTGTAGAAGAAGGGGAGGGAGGACAGACAGGGCCGGAGTAGGGCTGTAGGGTCAGGGGCCCTACTTCTCTCAGGAGCCACGAAGGGTCTACCAGGATCTACAGGCCTGAAACCTTCCCATTCCCAACCCCTTTCCCAGATTTGTTCCTGAGAACAGACCAATCTGCCCTCCCTCCCCCACCTGGGAACTAGGGCTCTTAGCTGACTTCTGTCCATTCAATGGGGGGCTTTTCTCATGGAAATAGAGGCCTGGAGAGGGGACCACAGGGCTCTCCTGAGCTCCTGAAGCAGCACTCCCATCACCTCCATCTGGTGCTCCCACACCCAAGGAGACAGGGAGGATGGATAAGGAATCTCTTGAGTACTTCTCCCTGCCCTCCTCTATCTCCCCCAGATGTTGAATCCAGCTCGGAGGACAGACTTCCAGGAAGCAGGGGTAGTGGGGGTCAGGAGTAGAGGGTGAGGGGAATGGGGAAGGATGAGAGCTTCACACACTCTCCAGCTGATGACCATGCCCTAGGTATCACTCCTTCCTTCTGGCCCATGTTGTATCAGGACCATGGTTTCTGGTCCCCCTCAGTCTAGCTGTCCTGCTTCCCCAGGCTCCCACCTTCTTGAGGACACTGTCCAGTGTTTCTGGTCGGCTAATGTCGAAGCAGATGAGCACAGCATCTGAATCAGGATAGGCCAGAGGCCGGACGTTATCATAGTAAGAGGAACCTGAGAGAAGACAGGGAGGGAGGGGACACACAAGGGTTCTGAGTGGGTGGGAGCCCTGGAAGGAAATGGGAGACCTTACCAACCCTTGAGACGCTCGCTAGGAGCAGAGAATGGAAAAGAGCAATAATTAATACCCATCAAGGAGTCTGGGTTTCTCCAAGGAGGGGAGCAGGCACAGGGAAGGTTAGATGGCAGAAAACAGCTCTCCACTTCCCTAGGGCCTTCTCTAAAAGTAATCATTCTTAATCTTTTTTGAGTCTTTGAGAAGCTCATGAAATCTCTCAACATTCTCAAAATTCTGCATGTGCTTTCTGGGCTTTGACAGACATCTTCCAAAGCCCTCCAGGGGAGCTGAGTGAAATAAAAACCATCCTCCTTTTTTGGAGAAGGGGGAGGGGCAGGGGCAGAGTTCTCCCACCCACTTGGGACATCTCAGATTTCTATACTTCAGTCTATAGAATGAGTTCCCGACCCGCAAAGAAATTCTAAATGTCTTTTCTAAACCCAGCCCTATCTCCTAAGAAACATGTTCCAAAATAAATCCATTCCTCCCAACTTTCCCAGGTAGGCAGAATCCAGCTGGGAGGATTGGATACTGGGCTTTCTCCCACAGGACAAGGTTTCTATGTGTCTCTGCACGCTCTGCCTCAGTTTCTTCAGCTTTAAGCAGAAAATTGGGTTTCCTTTCTCCTCAAATTGGATGGATGGACTGGGCTTAACTGGAGCCTAAGGGTCTAGCCAAGGGAGGGGCAAAGGTGGGGGCCGAGGAAGTCAGGGTGACCCCCCGGGGACTTGGCTACCTGAAGTGTCCCACATGTTGAGCTCTATGCGGCGCTTGTCGATCTCAAAGCTCGCGGTGTAGTTCTCAAACACGGTGGGGACATAACTCTGCAGAGAGAGATGGGTCAAGATGAGATCCTCAGTCTCCATCCCAGACAAACGCCATCCTCGCTCCCACACACCGTGCAGCCCAGCCCCTGGACACAAGTTGGTCTGGTGTTGGGCAAAGGGGAGATCCCGGGAGCGGCCGCCTCAGCGGAATATCCACTAGGTCCCAGACCCCCTCCCGGTCCCTTCAGCCCCTAGTTCTTCCCCTCTCCAATGCCCAGGACCCCCGACATTCCCCTAGTGTTCCCTCCTGGATCCTCTGGTTCTCCCAAACCCCATTCTTCTCATCCTGCTCCCCAATTCCTCCCACCCCAATCTTCTGCAGTCCCCCAGAGCTCCCAATGTCTCCCTCAGTCCCTGGTTTTCCAAGCCCCTCTCTCTAGACCCTGGTTACCCAGGCACTCATTTCGGTCCGTCCCTAGGGCCCTAATCACCCACCCCCGCGTCCTCAGCGCCCTCCTCCCGAGACACGGGTCCCTCACCCCGGGGTAGGCGTCCTTGGCGAACACCTGCAGCAGCGCCGTCTTGCCGCACTCCGCGTCCCCCACCACCACGATCTTGCAGCGGCCGCTCTGCCCCTCCATAGTCCCGGCTACGCGCCGGCCCCCTGCGCAGCCCCCCTCCGGGGCCCCACTGCCGCCTCCCCCGCCGCTGCAGCTGCAGCCGCTCGGGCCGCCGACACCGGCATCTCGCGGGCCCGCGCCGAGCCCCCGCCCGGGGCCGCGGCCCCCCTCAGCCCCGCCCCCAGCCCGACGGCCGCGCCCCCGGCCCCGCCTCCCGCCCGCGCAGCCGGGGGGGGCGGGGCCCAGAGGAGCAGGGCGGGGCCCGGGGAATCCGAGGGCCCGGAGCAGGGGTCCAGCGCGCGGGGGTGATCTGGGGAACCCTTCTAGGTTTGGGGTGGGCCGAGCCGGGCTTATTTGACTATTTTGACTTTTTTGGAGAGGGGCGCGGGGTAGAGTTCGGGCGAAGTTCTGAGGTGTAGGGCGAAAGCGGCAAACGCGCGAGGCTCGGGCCTTCTGCGTGCCCACGCGTACACGCCGGTGTGCTAGTGCGGACACGCGCGGGGGCAGCCATCACTTCCTGAACATGAGGGGGCGCGAGATGGTAGAGAAGGAGGGAGTCTTTTTGGTTCGTTCTTCCCTCTCCTCTCTCAGCGTCCCGGCAGGGAGTCTTGGGGATATGAAGGTATGGACTCCAGCACACCCACCCGGTCAATGGTGACATCATGGCTTTCCGTCCCCATAGCAACGGACGGCCTAGTCTGGGGCTGGGGTGTCTCAACCGCGGGCCTGGACTAACAGGGAAGTGTGGACTAGTTTCTCCAGCCGAGCTCAGGGTGGAAAGTTTTGGGGGAGCTGCGTCCTCTGGTGGATACTTAGGGGAGACAGAGATGGGGAGGAAGATAGAATTGCCTACAGTGACAGTCCTGATGGAGCCAGAGACAAGTTCTAGTCATTTAAGGCTTGATTCAGAGTCTAACGATAATCACACCACTGTTTCGCGCTTGCATGACATCTTTTACCCTTTAAAAGCGCTTCTTTAGGGGCCCTGGGTGGCTCAGTTGGTTAGACGACTGCCTTCGGCTCGGGTCATGATCCCGGAGTCCCGGGATCGAGTCCCGCATCGGGCTCCCAGCTCCATGGGGAGTCTGCTTCTCCCTCTGACCTTCTCCTCGCTCATGCTCTCTCTCACTGTCTCTCTCTCAAATAAATAAATAAAATCTTAAAAAAAAATAAATAAAAGCGCTTCCTTAAATCGGTTATACTCCATTTAATTTTATCTTTTAGAGCAAGCAATATCATCACCATTTTACAGAAGGGAAAGTTGAGGCACAGAGCTTTAACAGTCAGATGGAAAGTTTTAAAGACTCGGTCTCCTTGCTCCAAGTTGCCACTGCAAGACCACAAGAATGGGTCACATATGGTTAGAGTTTGAGCCTGAAGAACAACTTAGTTGTGTTCTAGGCCACAGGTGGCTGGCTCCCCAAATCTGATGTAAGCTCAGGTTTTGTGATTGTCCTTCAGACTGCCCTTTTACATATTAACTTGCATAAGTTTTATTATGAATAAATAAAATTAAGTCGCAGTCTGCATGACCTTAAGAATGCCCTCGCGCGGGTCTCTCTCCAAACACTCCTGGTCTCCACCTTCCGCGCTCCTGCAACAACTGCGCGGTGCCGCTGGCCCTTTAAGTAAGCCCGCGAGGCCCCGCCCCCGGCCTGGCGCCCCGCCCCCGAGCTGTCCGCAGCCGCCACTCCTCCCGCCGCGCGCCCCGCCCTCCCCAGCTGTGCACCCTCGGTCCAGCTGCGCTCTGGTCGGGAGTCCCAGACATGTCCGCGGAGAGAGAGGTAGCCGAGGTGGCCACCATCGTGGCGGAGGCCGAAGCAGGGGCCGGAGAAGACACCTCTTCTCAGCCCCCGAAAGCCGAGGCCGCTGGCGACGCCCAGCCATCCGCGACTTCCGAGGGGGCCGCCGCCGCGCCGCCGCCGCCGCTGCGGTGCCTGGTGCTCACCGGCTTCGGCGGCTACGACAAGGTGAAGCTGCAGAGCCGGCCTGCCGTGGCACCGGCCCCCGGTCCCGGCCAGCTGACGCTGCGCGTCCGGGCTTGCGGGCTCAACTTCGCCGACCTTATGGCCCGGCAGGGGCTGTACGACCGGCTACCGCCGCTGCCCCTCACTCCAGGCATGGAGGGCGCCGGCGTCGTGATCGCGGTGGGCGAGGGAGTGAACGACCGCAAGGTGAGCGGGACAGGGCAGGGCAGGGCGAGGCTGCCCAGGCCACAGAATAGTGGGGCTCGAGTGGGCGGGGGCCGGGGGTGTGGCAGGGCGGAAGAAACTGGCACCGACCCGAGCAGACGGTCATGGAAGGCGTTGGGAAGGAGCCTGTGTTACGAGGGCCCTGGGGAACTGGGTTTATATTGGAGGGTAGGTAGTGTCGATAGAGTTATCGCCCCCTCCCCAACCATTTTTAACTGTGGCCGCCGCCCAGAAGCGGCGGCGGCGGTGGTGGTGGTTTAGGGTTGGGGTGGGGGGGGACACAATAAGGCACCCGTGCGCATGCGCACAATGACCTTACAGCTCTCCCCCCCACCCGCCCCCCGCCCTCTGCCAACACCCGGATTAAAACCACACCTGTACCCCCCGCCATCAAACACTGCCTGGGTAATTGTGGTCTGTGACCCTGACTACGGATTAGTGCTTTTACCCCCGAGGGAGTTTGAGGAGCTGTGTAGTCCGGGTTGGGCGGGGACGAATGACCCTGCCAGAGCCCCAGTCACATGCAGCCCCGTGGTCTGTGGGGGTGTGAGGAGGCCCCTCCCAGAGCAGGGCTAAAGAGATGAGGCACGCCCATCATGGAGGAGAGGGAGCCTGCCACCCGCTCTTCCACTGGATTTACACTGCTTCTCTGATCTTGGCGATGGTGGGGGCGAGATTGGGTCTCTGGATCTTTGTCTTAGGCTCTCTGTATCCCGTGACTGCACTATCTCCTTCTCCAGTGACTCAGCCAGCGGAGCCACGACCCCAGGCTGCACTTGGGAACGTTGAAGGGGCGGGAGTGGCGGGAACACGCCTCTGCCTTCCCCTTCCTCCGGGAGGACCCTGGGCTCAGAAACCCCTGCGGTGCCCATTTGGACTGGGGTGTGGGGGTGTGGCACTGGGAGCAGGTTGGCCCAGCTCTGCAGGTCTGTTTCTCCTTTCGTTTATCATTAATCTTGGCCACAAACCCGGACAGCGGAGAGTTCCAAATGAGCGACTTTTTGAGGGACCCCGGGGTGAAGCCTTTGCACGTCATTTGTTTGGGTGTTTCTTTTTGGAATCAGCTCCCTGCAAGAGAGGCCCCCTCAGACGCAGCCTTCCTCTTGCAGGACCTGCTAGTTCCAGGTCCCAGAGCTGGAATTCTTGGATTTATTGCGCATGTCCACATCTCCTCCTCAGAGGGCTTTTGCCTCTATCCAGCTCTGGCCCCACCCTTTCCACTGACTTCTGAGTAATCCCGCTCTTGAGAAGGTGCTAAGAGGAATTTGTGTGTGTGGTGGGTGAGTGGGGGGGAATTGTAGTTCATGTTTGAAGGCCACCCACCTAACCTCCCTCCCCACACTTTCCGCTTAGTAAATACAGGATATCCTGTCCAGGGCAAGAACCTGATGTAAGAGGCTGGATTCTGTAGGGAGAGCCCTCCTTCCCTCCTGATGTCTGGAAAGGGGAGGGGTCATGGCCCTGCCCTGTGATGGGCCGAGGGGTGGGCTTTAGCCTGGGTAGGTGAGCCTGGCTCTGGGCCACATCGGTCACAACCCTGGCTGACTACTGCACTTTCCAGCAGTCCTGGGCTGTTTCTGAGTCTCCTAGTCCTGAGTCCTAGGGTGGAATGCTTCCATTCCCCAGACCTCATTTCAGGCCAGTGCTTGAAAGGAAACATCCCAGCCTTCCTTCAGTCCTCATCAGTGGGGTATGGGGCTTTGAGGACATGAAAAGGGGTGTGTGTGGGAACCCCATGCCCTCTCTCCATGGATCCCAAGTCTCCTTAATATACAGAATTCCCATCATCCCTGGCAGGGACCAAAACAGACCCGGATTGTCCTGGAATAGCACCCATACTTTTCCCTCCATGGCCTTCAGAGTGAGGAGAGGCCTTGCTTTCTCCAACGATTGCTGCCTTTCCTCTGCCCTCCTCTTGACCCCAGAGGCTAAGCTGGAGGGAGAGATTCTGTTTTCTTAGCTCCCTTTCCTTCCTGCAACGAGGCTCTTGTACAGGTGGCCAGGGCTGGTTGCAGGGACAGGTTGCCTCTTCCTTTTGGACTGGGGCTGTGTGGCTGTCCTTGTCCACCACCCCAGCTCCCTGTCTCTGGGTGAGGGTGTTTTCTGGGCCCCCAGTAGTGCTGGCTCAAACGCTTCTCATGAGGTAATTGCACCAACCCTAGAGGCTTTACAGGGACTTTATCGTTGTTATTACCTAATACTGTGAACTCTTTGCTCTGTGCCGGACATTGAGCTAAAAATTACTGAGTGATTTTTTTTTTTTGCCACTTAATCCTCATAATTGCTCTATTTTTTACAGACAAGAAAACTGAGGCTCAGAAAGGTTAAATAGTTTTTATTTGCCCAAGGTCACACTGTCAGTAAACAGCAGAGTCCATTTTTTTTGACCAAAACAGTTTGATGTCTTTAACAATACTTCGTGCAGCCCTAAGTATAAGCTTCTTGCATTCAGGGGTCTTACACAATAGAGAAGCATAAGATCTGTAAAGTCGAGATAAGGACGGTATCTACCTCAAAGAACTGGGAAGGATTAATCGACTATTTATATGTAATAGGCTTATTATAGCTCTTAGAATAGGGCCTGGCCTCTGGCAAGCACTCCAGTAAGGGTAAGTTGTTATTGTTTTCCATGGTGTTATTATTACTATTAGCATGAGGACTGTGGCTGCTTTTATTGCTACTTCATTGCCAGGAAGAGGGCCTTGTACATAGTGGAAGGTCATAAATCGCCAGTGGGTGAATGAGCAAGGGGCTGAATGATGCTCTTCTTTCATTCTTCAAGGTAGGGGACCGGGTGATGGTGTTGATCCGGTCAGGCATGTGGCAGGAGGAGGTGACTGTGCCCTCAGCCCAGACCTTCCACATGCCTGAGGCCATGACCTTCGAGGAAGCGGCTGCCTTGCTGGTCAATTACATCACAGCCTACATGGTCCTCTTTGACTTCGGCAATCTACGGCCTGGCCACAGCGTCTTGGTACACATGGCCGCAGGTGACAGGCCCCCTCCCTTTATCCCCCCTCCTTACCCCACCCAGATTTCCTTGGGGCCCCTTCCCTGCAGCCTGTCTGGACGGTCGTCATGGCAACACCAGGCTGCCTTGGCCTATGGCTCCCAGAGGCCTCTGCCTTATTGTTGCCGTGGTAACATTCAGGCTCCAGGTCCAGCCTGGTGTGCTATCCATAGCAACGTGCCCTCAGCCGGCGGCCCCTCCTTTGCCAGCTACCCTCCCCCCCCCATTTCTAAGTCATGGCCATTGGACCCAGTTGTGAGGAGAGAAAGCCTCAAAATGCTCCTAGGCCCATTGAGGATGATGAGCAGAGTCCTTGAGGGGCAAGAATGGAGAGCGACGGCGGGGTGACTCCAGTTCCTGCCTCATGAAAGGGTCTTGCTGCAGGGGGTGTGGGCATGGCCGCCTTGCAGCTGTGCCGCACGGTGGAGAACGTGACGGTGTTCGGGACGGCCTCGGCCAGCAAGCACGAGGTGCTGAAGGAGAACGGGGTCACACACCCCATTGACTATCACACGACTGACTACGTGGATGAGATCAAGAAGATCTCCCCGAAAGGTGCAGCTGGGGGTTGGGGTCTGGGCGGGGGGGCAGGATGGCCTAGGATAGGGAGGGGCACCTAACGCTGTTCCTGGCTCCCCCCGCCCCCCGACAGGAGTGGACATCGTCATGGACCCTCTGGGTGGGTCAGATACTGCCAAGGGCTACAACCTCCTCAAACCCATGGGCAAAGTGGTCACCTATGGTGAGTTTGCAGGCCGGGGGTGGAGAGGGCTGTGAGGGGAAGCCCCTGCGTCTGAAGGGCAGGCTGCGGAGGCCCAGGGACTCCGGGACTCAAGCGGGCATCAGGGTTAGAGTGAGGACGGGTAAGGCGTCCAGATCGCTGCCTCCGGGGTGCAGCTGATGGCATTCTCATTTGCTCCTTTTCCTACGAGTCACACGCAGTGAATTCTGTGTTCTTTCCGTGCTCCTCTTTGGGGTTTATTCTGGATGCAAAATCCATCCGCCTGCCTTCCTTTGTTCTGCTCTCCTGGGCTTCTTGGGCAAGCTGCGTTTTCATCTGAAAAACTCACACCCACAAAAATCAGCAAATAAATAAAGATGGGGGCAGTTTCGAGTCCGCTGGAGCGCATCTGGGCCTGGCAGCCAGCGGGCGGGGGGTCCTCCTGTCATTCACCACACTGCTGGGGATGATGCTTGTGACTGGCTCTTGGGGGACGAGGAGCGTTGTTTCAGGCAGGGATGCTCTGGGCACGGACTCACGGGCCACGTTGCCTCGTCCCACAGGAATGGCCAACCTGCTGACGGGCCCCAAGCGGAACCTGATGGCCCTGGCACGCACGTGGTGGAACCAGTTCAGCGTGACGGCCCTGCAGCTGCTGCCCGCCAACCGCGCCGTGTGTGGCTTCCACCTGGGCTACCTGGAGGGCGAGGTGGAGCTGGTCCAAGGCGTGGTGGCCCGCCTCCTGGCTCTGTACAACCAGGGCCGCATCAAACCGCACATCGACTCTGTGTGGCCCTTTGAGAAGGTGAGTGGGACCCCTGTGTTGGGTGGGGGCTCTGGGGGCTGGGGTTCCTGGGAAGAGAAGGGCTGCCTCCTTCTGGCTGGCTCTGGGTAGCCCTGGGAGCCGGGTATTGTCTTCCTCCCCAGGTGGCAGACGCCATGAGGCAGATGCAGGAGAAGAAGAATGTGGGCAAAGTCCTCCTGGTGCCTGGACCAGAAAAGGAGAACTAGGGCGGAGGCTGGCAGACCCTCAGGGCCCCGGGAAGAGAGACACCAGGGGCCGCACTGTGCTGGTCTCCAAACTCTCACATTTCATCCTCTGTCATCATGCTCTGCCCTCTCTCCCCTGAAGGTCTCCGTCCTGATGGCCTCTCCCCTGCCCTGTTCTGTCTCCTGAGGCAGGGCTGCCCCCCCCCTTCCTGCCCTCGGAAGAGGTTGGGAAGTGACCACTTGGATGTCTGGGCCCTGCCAAGGGGACAGGGAGGGTCAGAGGGAGGCCGGCTGCTTCCTGCCCCCACCCTTTCCCTGGGCCTGCTGTGCTGCTTTTGTGCCAAGGTTAGCCGATCCCTTTCCGTCCAGTTCTGTGTGCTCCCCCTCCACCGCCTCATCTCCCACTCTTGCCCCTGCCCCACCCCCACCCCACCCCACCCCCAAAGAATTGAAACGTCAGCTCAGGATATGGGGCCAATCTGTGTGAATCCAGCATGTCCCTGTCTTGCTCTCATGTCCCTTCAACCCAGGCCGACCAGTGCCCCCCTCTGAACTCTGTCACCTCGTTGCATGGCCTTGTCCTCTTGCCCCCATCTCCTTAAGCACACTTGGGCTTCTTCCACCTCTGGGTTTTCTGCCCCTTGTAACCAAGGTTGCCTCTTACAACAAGGGTGGGACTCATACTGCTCCCTTAGGTCACAACTCTGTGGGAGGGACACAGAGTCCCCCCCCCCATCAACCGCCCTGCCGCTCCCCACCCTTCACTGAGTTCTCTGGAGTTGTTCTCAGTGCCTTAGCAACGGAAAACCTGTGCGTGTATGTGTGTGGGGGGGTGTCCCTGTCTCACACCTCCTTCTCTACCCCGTACTCCCCAGTGCCTTCCTCGTTCTGCTGGAGCTGGGGTTTTGCTGCCTCCCAGTCCCACAACACTGCCAAAAATCTGTGTGCATGCCAGTTGCGGGGGGGGGCAGCCCCGAGCCGCCTGGGGTCTGTGCCATGTCCTGTCTCTGGGGCTGTCATTTCTCTCTGGGTGGTGGAGGAGGAGAAGGCGGCGGGGAAGCTCTCCCAGCCTTGCAGGCAAGTGTGGCACTTACCAGCCAGAGCTCTGAGAGGCGATGCCATCTGTTTTTTGTTCTGGGACCAAAGTAAAAATCAAATCCCATTTCCCGTGTCATCAAGGGAGGCCCACTGCCTTCTCAGAGCAGGGGGCAGCTTTTCGAACTCAGCCCCAAACTTTGTTTACATGGGTGGGCAGATGGAACAGGGGAATAAAGAGGGGGGCGGTTTAGGACCTGGGCCGCTGGAACCAAAGTGGGGCTTCCTGGCGTAGGGGTGTAACTCCGTCTGCTCCCTGATAGGGAATTAGGTAGGGTTCTTGCCCAGCCACTGCCGGGGGAGGTGGGGGGAGGGGCTCAGCCTCTTCATTGTCTAAACAAGGCCTAAACGTGTGAAGTGCGATTTCTGCTTTTGTGTACCCCACCCCATTTTACCGAAGCTGCCTTTGTGTTTGTGTCAATAAAAAGCCAAACCCTGGGTCCTGGATGTTGCCTCTTGAGAATTGGAGGGGAAGGTGGGCTCCCGGAAGGTCAGGGCCAAGAGTGGATGGTTAGGGTTCCTCCTGCCGTGCTCAAATCAAGTTTCCTTTCAGGAAATGAAATGAGAAGAAGGTTACACCACTTTTTATTGTTGGGCAGTGTTTCACAACCCATAATCCCTGCTGCCGTTGACCCGCACGATCTCTTGCACCCGTGCGCCCAACTCCAGTCTGGTTCGAGAGGCTTGGCAGAGGGGTGCGGGTGACGAGGAGGGCAGGCTCTTAGTCTGATGCGGCAGTGAAGACTGCCAGGCCCCGCTGTCCCGGGGGCACGACTCTCAGGGCCTCTACCTCCCCACCTCCATGGGAGGGCTTCTGGAAGTGAATCTCCAGGATATCCTGCAGCTCTGGGCCATCCAGCACATCGGGAATGTTGAGCACTAGCACTGACTGGGGTACCGGCCGGAATGTGATCTGGAAAAAGACCCGGGAGATGAGCAAAGTCTCCTGAGAGTCAGAGACCGGGGGCAGGTGGTGCCCCTGGGGGTAAGGGAGGGGCAGGGAGGCCAGAGAGGCTAGCAATGGGAAGGACAATGGGGTTTGGGGGCTCTGATCCTTTCCTGGGCAAGTTTCTGGCAGGCAGACAGGTGTGGGGCCCAGCCCCCGATGCTCTACCTTCCCACTTACGTCAGCCTTCTGGATCTCCCCACTAAGGTAGGGAGAGACTCTCAAAGGGAACTTGCGCTCGCCCAGTGGCACTGTGAACTGGCCAATCTGGCACAGGTACTGGGCCACTGTGGGGAGAGAGAGGGATGGACCTCTAGCATCCAGGGCTCTACTCCCCTGGGGCCTGAGGCCTCCATCAACCCCAGTCTCGTGGCAGGGCCCTCACCTGTGTCCTTAGTGAAACCCAGCACGACAGCCCCTCGCAGCAGCTCCCGAGTCTCCACGTCACCACCCCCGTTCCTGGTCTTGCCAAAGAAGATCTCTAGCTTGTCCAGCAGCTCCTCCTCACTCAGCCGGAGCCCTGCGGGAAACCCACTAACCAGCACGCTCCGCCTGCTTACCCGAGTGGACACCTAGGGGTGGACAGGAAGGAGAGGTCCGGCCCTGCTTCCCGGGGCCCCAGTGCATGGCAGCCCTGCGTGTCCCAGGACCCTGCTGCTCTGTCACCTGGACAGCGGTCACCACAGGCAGCTCCAGAGCCTGCACTTGAACCCGCAGCCGGCATTCCTCTATGTGGATCTCATGCTCCTTCTGTTGCAGCACCCTCTGGGCCACTAGGGCAGGGGAGCAGGGTCAGTGCAGGGGGGGTAGGCGAGGGGGTGAGGGAAGCCTCCCAACCTCCCTCCTGGGGCCTCTTGGAGAGCTCACCCTTGGGGTCATCGAAGGTGACCAGAGCAGAGCCTCCTGGCAGAGGGTAGGAGATCCTCACTTCGGAAACCAAACACTTGGGTGCTTCCTGGCCCTGCTGAGTGTGTCCTCGGAACACCAGGGGGACTGCAGTTGCCACGAATGGGACCTGGAGGTGGGGGAGGGGAGGCTGATGCAGCCTTCAAGGGTGGGAGAGCCCCCCCCACCCCGCCCCATCTCAGGAGGAAAGCGTTCCACATGATCGATGCCGGGATGAATACATTTATTGAAAGAGCTGGGTGAATGAGCAGATGAAGTTAGGTCACGCCTGAACTGGCACGTTAGACCCAAGATCTGCGCTTGTCCTTGCACAGCAGCCCTGCAAGTTCGGTAGCTCCACTTTACAGATGAGAAAGCAGGTGCAGAGAGTTCAAGTCACATACTTGAGGTCACACAGCAAGGAGACGGCAGAGCCAGGAGAGAAACTAACTTCTAGTTCTTCCTCCCAGACCACACACACCCCCCACCCCGCTTACCTGGTCTCGGGCTTGGTCCCTGAGCTCCCTTCTCCGCTGCTGCAGCTCCCGCAGCCGGCCCTTTAGTCTGGCCTGTTCCTCCCGAAGGGCACCCAGGGCCTGTTAGAACAGGGGGGACATGACCACGCATCCACCTGCCTTCCCGGAGAAGGAGCCCAGGGAGAGGGGACCCTACTTGTGAAATCTCCCACCAGCAGAGCTGATGCTCAGCTCCAGAACAGCCCAACCCCTTTCCCCTGCCCACGGGCTGGGACTTGGCTGGCCTCATCTCTGGGGGCCTGGCTGCTCTCTGGGGGCTCCAGGAGGAACCTTGGGTACAGTCACAACTGTTTTTTACAGGAGACGTTGCTTTTAACAAACACTGATTGAGCTCCTACTGAGGGGTGCTGGGCACTGACACAGGGAGACACAGGGACAAGAGGCCAGTCCTCAGGTCTGAAGGAAACAGTATTCCAGACAGTGTACCCTCACACAAGGGACTGTGGAGGACATGGGGAGTGTGGAGGAGGGACCGTGCCATAGGACTTAACATCACAATGGAGGCCTCCAGAAGTGGGGGCTTACAGTGGTAAAATGTCATACTACTAGCTAACATTTATTTATTTATTATTTTTAAGGTTTTATTTTTATTTATTTGACAGACAGAGATCACAAGTAGGCAGAGAGGCAGGCAGAGAGAGAGAGGAGGAAGCAGGCTCCCCCTGGGATCATGACCCGAGCTGGAGGCAGAGGCTTAACCCACTGAGCCACCCAGGCGCCCCTACTAGCTAACATTTATTAAGCACTTACTGTATGTCAGGTGCTGTGCCAAGCTTTTTATTTTTATATTTTTTTAAGATTTTATTTATTTGACAGACAGAGATCACGAGTAGGCAGAGAGGCAGGCATGGGGGTGTGGGGGAAGCAGGCTCCCCACTGAGCACAGCCTGACACTCAGGACCCTGAGATCACCACCTGAGTCAAAGGCAGAGGCTTAACCCACTGAGCCACTCAGGCGCCCTGTGCCAAGCTTTTTATATGGAGTGGAACACTCACTTCTTTTTTTTTTTTTTTTAAGATTTTATTTATTTATTTGACAGAGAGAGATCACAAGTAGACAAAGAGGCAGGCGGAGAGGGAGAGAGGGAAGCAGGCTCCCTGCTGAGCAAAGAGCCCGATGCCGGACTCGATCCCAGGACCCTGAGATCATGACCTGAGCCGAAGGCAGTGGCTTAACCCACTGAGCCACCCAGGCGCCCCAACACTCACTTCTTGAAACAACCCTACGAGATAAATTCCCTCTTAACCTTATTTTACAGATGAGGAAACCAAAGTTCAGAGAGGTTAAGTGACTTCCCCAAAGTCATTCAGCCCTATCCAGGCTGACTCCAGACTGCTAATCTGTGCTTTCCAGTGAAAAAAATCAAGCACCATCCCCTCCACAGCCACAAAAAAAAGAAATCAAGCCCAGAGTGGGGGAGCAGTTTACCCCCCATCTCCCAGCTTGTCCCTTGACTGCCACTCTTTCCACTGTACTAAGCAGCCTTTCAGGCTGGGTGTGATTTGGAGTGAGTCCAGAGACAGAGAGGGACAACATGGGCAAGGGAATGACACCAGGGACACGAATAAATGCACCTTTGTTTGTGGGATGGAGTAGATGTTAGCTGGCAGGGTTCACTCTGTGGTTGGGAAGCCTGATAAATAAGGTTGGCTCAGAGAAGCGTGAGCTCACTTGGGAAGGCGGGACTCTTGTCCCAGTCATCTCTGTATCCCCAGTGTCCAGCAGAGTCTCTGTCACAAAACAGGCATTCAGTCAATGTGTGTTGAATGAATGAAGGACTGCAATGAATGAATGACAGAATGGGGGCATATTACAGAGGGCACTGAAGACATTCAGTGTGAGTTCGCTCTTTTTTTTTTTTTTAAAGATTTTATTTATTTATTTGACAGGCAGAGATCACAAGTAGGCAGAGAGGCAGGCAGAGAGAGAGGGCGAAGCAGGCTCCCTGCTGAGCAGAGAGTCCGATGCGTGGCTCGATCCCAGGACCCTGGGATCATGACCTGAGCCGACGGCAGAGGCTTTAACCCACTGAGCCACCCAGGTGCCCGAGCTACTGGGGATTCTAGTTTGCTCTATTTTTAAGCAGAGGAAAGCTAGAGCTTGATCAAATAATGCTGCTTTATGAGGAGTGAGAAAGGTACCCAGTTCTTCATATTTCTACACATAAGGTGCCTTAAAGGCCGGCCAGATGACATCAATGACTGCAGAGAGTCACTGCAGATGATAGGCAGTGCTAGGGACTCACAAACTGGAGAGAGCGTGTCCCCACTAAAGCGGCAGCCTCTTCCCAGCTCCAACCCAGATTTTCTCACATGGGAATGTGGTTCCAGTATCCTCTATGTTCCCATTTTTAAAAAAGATTTTATTTTATTTATTTATATGTGTGAGAGAGTCAGACACTTAACTGACTGAGCCACCCAGGCGACCCTATCGAACCTCATTTTATAGATGAGGAACTTGAGGTTTGTCAGGGCTAATTAATGGGCCAAAGTAAGTCAAACCCAAGGCCACTGAAGACACAAGGGGTCAAGGACAGGACGTGGTGGAAAGGACTCTGGGTTGGAACAACATGTGGGGATGGAAGAAGCCAAGAGGAAGGAAGAACTCTTTGAGGGACAGAGCCTTAGAAATCTAATCTTTGAGGATTATATTTAGTCAGGGGTCAAGGGAGGCGAAAGGAATGGCAGAGAGAAAAAAAAAGAAGGCCTGGCCAAAGATAAGGAGGGCCAGGGCCAGGACTGGGGACTGTCAGAGATACAGAGGAAGAGGAGGGATGAAGCAGCGCTTCAAGGAAAGGAGGCTAAAGGGCTCCACGTGCTCATTTGCTTTCTCATTCGCTCATTCGCCAATTAGCTACGGAGCCGCTACCAAGTACCAGGCACTGCTCTAGGCTCTGGAAACACAGTGATGAACACAACAGATACAACTTCCTTGTGGAGTTTATATTCTAGAGGATGAGCCGGACAGTAAATAGAATCAATAAAATCTACAGTATGCTAGTGGTAAGTGTTGTGGGCAGAAGCCAAGCAGGGGAGGATAGAGAATGTTAGAGGCCATCTTAAATGGGGTGATCAGAATAGGCCTTGCTGAGATGATACTGGATCATTTACCTGAAGGAGATGCAGGAGAAAGCCATGTGTACACGTGGGGGAAAGTTCTGTGCACAGGAAGAGCAAGTGCAAAGGCCCTGAGATGGGAGTTTTTGTCGGGCGGATCTGAGGAATAGCAAGGAAGCCAATGAGTAGGAGTAGAGGAATTGAGGAGCTGGGGGCCGGAGAGGAAATCACAGAGGAGGAGATGGAGTTGGACCATGCCACATCTTTCACACAATGTGGGGTGGGAAGCCACAGACAGGATGACTTGGCTGTTGTGTGACTAGACTGATATGGGGAAAGGGCACAAGCAGGGAGACCACTGGTGAGGCCATTACAGCATCCAGGAGCACCATGTTGGGGGTTTGGACCATGGGGGAGTAATGGAGGCCATGAGGGGCCGTGGAGTCTAGATGGGTTGAAGTTGCTGATGGATCAGAAAAAGAGTGTGGAAGAAAGAAAGGAGTCTGGGGCGCCTGGGTGGCTCAGTGGGTTATGCCTCTGCCTTTGGCTCAGGTCATGATCCCAGAGTTCTGGGATGGAGCTCTCTGCTCAGCAGGGAGCCTGCTTCCCTTCCTCTCTCACTGCCTGCCTCTCTGCCTACTTGTGATCTCTGTGTCAAATAAATAGATAAAATCTTTAAAAAAACAAACAAAAAAAAAAAATAGAGGAGTCTGGGATGACTCTAAGCTTTTTGGCCTGAGCGACTGGAAGGAATGAGAGCCATTTTCTGAGATGGGGAAGACTGTGGGTGGAAGAGATTTAGGGCAGGAAATGAAGGGTTTATTGAGAACACATTAGGTACGAAGTGCCTGTTTGACATGTCAGTAGAGACGGAGGGTAGCAGTTGCCTCTAGGGATCTAGTATTCAGGGAAGATGTCCGGGCCGGAAGTACACATTTGGGGTTTAGTCATGTAGAGGAGACATAGTCACAGAGTCACAAAGCTAAGTAAGTTCACAAGAAAGTCTCACACTACTTGAGAACAACAGGGAGGGAGGTATAGACAGAGGGAGGCCCAAGGGCTGATTTCTGGGGTGCCCACCACTAAGAGGTCAGGGGAACAACGAAGCACCAGCCAAGAATACAGGGGAGGGCTCAGTGCACCTGGAGGGTGAATAGGAGTGTGAAGAAGGGTTTCAAGGAGGGGGAGCCAGCAGCTGGGCCAAACGTTGCTAATTAAGGCCAACTAAGATGAGACACGAGCAACACTCCCGGCGTCAGGACACTCAGTGACCACTGAGCGCCAAAGAAACAGTTCTGCTTATAAGGAAACGGCCAGAAGTTCATGTACAAAGATTATTATTGTGGCTTTATTTAAAACAGACAAAAAGGGGCGCCTGGGTGGCTCAGTGGGTTAAAGCCTTCGCTTTCGGCTTACGTCATGATCTCGGGGTCCTGGGATCGAGCCCCAGGTTGGGCTCTCTGCTCAGCGGGAAGCCTGCTTCCCCCTCTCTCTCTCTGCCTGTCTCTCTGCCTACTTGTGATCTCTGTCAGATAAATAAATAAATCTTTTTTAAAAAAATAAATAAATAAAACAGACAAAAAGATGGGTGCCTGGATGGGTTGGCCAGTAGAGCATGTGACTCTTGTTCTCGGGGTCTGAGTTCAAGTCCCACGTTGGGTGTAGAACTTTCATTAAAAACAAAATAGGGAGGCCTGTGTGGCTCAGCGGGTTAAGCATCTGCCTTCAGCTCAGGTCACGATCCTGGGATCGAGCCCCATGTGGGGCTCCTGGGTCAGCGGGGAGTCTGCTTAGCTTTCTGCACCCCTCCCCCACCTCGTGCTCTCTCTCTCTCTCTCTGTCTCCCTCACAAATAAATGAATACAATTTTTAAAACAAACCAAAACAATAAAACAAAACAAAACAAAAAGAAATCTATGTGTCCAACAATAGGGTAATAGCTAAATATATCATGTAAACAATTAAAAGACATAAAGAACATTTAACAATATGAAAAAATGCTCACAATAAGCCAAAAAAGCAAGATATAAAACTGTATAGAAAGTATGATTCCTATTCTGTTGATTTAAAAAGTTTTATTTCATAAGGATCTTTATTAACACATAAAAATGCATGGGGGTACCTGACTGGCTCGATTTTGGAAGAGTATGTGACTCTTGGTCTCGGGGTCATGAGTTTGAGCCCCATGTTGGATGTAGAGATTACTTTAAAAACTATAAAATCTTGGGGTGCCTGGGTGGCTCAGTGGGTTAAGCCTCTGCCTTCGGCTTAGGTCATGATCTTAGGTCATGATCTCGGGGTCCTGGGATCAAGCCCCGCATCAGGCTCTCTTCTCAGCGGGGAGCCTGCTTCCCCCTCTCTCTCTGCCTGCCTCTCTACCTACTTGTGATCTCTGTCAAATGGATAAATAAAATCTTAAAAAAAAAAAGATTTTATTTATTTGACAGAGACAAGCACAGCAAGAGAGGGAACACAAGTAGGGGGAGTGGGAGAAGGAGAAGCAGACCTCCTGTCGGGCTGAGCAGGGAGCCCGACACTAGACTCTATCCCGGGACCCCAGGATCATGTCCCGAGCTGAAGGCAGACACTTAACAACTGAGCCACCCAGGCACCCCCCGCTTTTTTTTTTCTTAAGTAACCTCTATACCCAGTGTGGGGCTTGAACTCATAACCTGAGATCAGGAGTCACCCACTTTCACCAACTGAATAAGCCAGGCTCCCTGAGCCTGTGATCTCTCTTATTACACTTGTGGGGCAAATGAAAAATTCCCAAGAAAGACATCTGTGTATTTATAACAGATGGAGTAGTAGCAGCAAGGGAAAGACTGCAGAAGCTGGAGAGGGGAGGAGATTCATTCATTCCACGGCTGTCTGGGGATCAAGGGTGAGCAGGCTAGACGGGGGACCAATCTTAGTCTAGCAATTGGGGCATCACGGGTCAGGAAAGGGAAGACCACAGCTTGCAAGGCTTAGGGGAGCTCTTGGAGGAGGAATACGTCTGCCTGTGAGCCGGAAGAGGACCCAGGATTCACCTGAAATGAACTGTAAGGCGAGGAACAGTTCAATTCTAGGATGAAATATAAGGAGGGGAAGTTTGTTGGGTGAGATCTCAGGAGATAAGGGTGTGAACAAGTCCTAAACTTTTTGGGTCACAGAACCCTTTAAGTACCTAAGAACTGAATTCTCTCAGAAAAACGCATTCACACAAGGAATTCATGAGCTCTGAGGCACAGGCTATAGGATTGTCTCTGAGGCAATGGGTTAGGGGAGAGGTAATCCCAGCCGTGTTTCTCCCCTGATGTTTAGCAGGTCTAAGCAACAAAGAGGCTACCAGACCCCGAGAATCCTGCAGATTCCCAGCCAAGGAATGTCCTCTGCTTCTCCCTCCACCCCCAATACTCTCCTCTTCACTTACGGCATCATCATACATCACTGACGTGGGCCTGCAGTCCGGTTGACAAGGGCCGAGGCTTCAGAGCTGGGTATAAAGTGGTAGTGTCCCCTGTAACTAAACTCTTGCTTGTACCTTCGGAGGTGGCTTCGTCCCCTCCAAGTTGGGCCTGAGTTACACTTCCGACGGTTCTGTCTGCAGGTTTTGCTTCCACTTTCATTTCAGCAAAACCCCTGCCGTATGTTTGCACGCCCCCAGCTGGTCTCCCCGCCCCTGGGAGGAGGAGCCCTTCTGGGCTTGGAAGTTGACCTCACCCACTTGAGGCCTAAGAGGAGCCACCCACAAGTAACAGCCCAAAAAACGTGGGCCCCTATCAACCACTCATTCCAGCCTATCAAGGCCAGTACAAGCCTGTTGGTAGAATTCTGTCTGCTGTCAAGATATTTCCCTGGAGCCTAGAAAGATGCTGGACACACGCAGACTAATTGAGATTGAGAAGTGCAACCAGGACGGTTAAAGCCTCTCCAAGTTGTACTAATAGCCAGCCATTTGTGAACTGTTCTGTGCCCAATACGGACTCTGCTTCACATGAATGAACTCCGTCTTCCCAACAACCCCACAAAGTTGGTTGTTTTTGCCATTTTACAGATGATTAGTCTAACCATCTGAGGCAGGGAAGTGTAGAAACTTGCTCCAGGTCATACTGCTAGAAGTCAAGCACATATCCAACCCTGGTTGGAATAGTATTTGAACTTGGGCCTCCAGGTAGAGTGAAGAACTTCTGAATTTCTAGTCAGAAGGTTGAAATTTACTTCCATTTGTGACTGAGTAGGCAAGCTACTTAGGAGTCTGTCTTGAGAGATGCCCAGTACTTACGGGTGAGGAATCAGAGTTCAGTGCACAGATTTGTTTTCCTACTATCCAGTCCAGGATTTTTCCAGTAAATTTACAGACCCAGCCCTTGTTCCACATCCCAGGTGGGTATGTGTCAATCAGTGCTTGGTGAACACACCTGTCGGGACTCCTGCTTCCATCAAGGGTCTTAGAACCAGACCAGCTGGAGAGAGCCTATCTCCCCAGTAGAGCAGGGTCACAGGTATCCAATGAACGGTAAAATGGCAGACTGAAGGGCCACGCACCTTTCCTGTAGCAGTAACACAACCATGCCCAAGAGCCTCGAATCACACCTTTTCTTGCTGGGTTCTGCTAGGCCATCTGGGGACCTCTTCTGATCTTACTAGGAATGGCTGTTCTGGGGCTCAGGCCTTCATTAGTCCCCACCCCTGCCGTTGAGAGTTCTCCAGGGTGGGCCTCATGAGATCAACACAGCTATTGGCAGGTAACCTCCCAGAAATTCTGAACTATTGAACCTCAGAGTGGGATTATGGCACTTTGCGGTTGGTTTGAGGTCCTCAGAGTGGTGGCTCTCAACTGGAAGGCCCTACTGAGCGGGGCCTGTGGGTGTTCCCAGTGTGGGGGCAGGGAGCAGAGCAGCCCAGGTTCTACCATGCACCCGTGAAGTCAGGAGTACTCATTTTTAGGGCAAACAGTTCAGTAGCTCACACCTTACACATCAAGGGCATCCAAATGACGAAAGGATGATCAGGCTGAGGATCAAGTAGTCCAAGTCTCACTAAGGCATTATTTTATATATATTTTCCCACAGCCTCTCATCCACCACCCAATGTCTCATCACACGAATGTTCTTCTTTCCCAGTCTAATAACACACGCCACAGGTAGACAGGAAATTTTTGGGGGGGTGTATTTTTAATGACTGAAACAAAACAGATCTAAAATCGCAGCTTCTGGAAGAACCACTTGTTCTTGCCGGTCTTGTACCTAGAGGCGGGGGAGAAAAGGAACACCATTGAGAACAGTGAAACCAAATTCCCTTCATGGACGATAAGGCCACCATACTCCAATATCCTCCACCAAAGTCTATTTACCTCTCCTCGAACTTGACCTTGGCCTCTCGTCTGGCTTTGCGTTTAAGAGCAGGGTCTCTGAAGACATCCTTGTTGACAACAGTCTTGTCCAAGGGGATATCCACAGAGTACCTGGAAACAATGATGGGAACAGAAGATCAGCCCACAGGCCACCAGGGCCCTTCACACAGCCCTGGGACATTGGGGTGTCAAGGTCTGTCTCCATAGGAGCAATCCACAGAATCTGTGCCAAAGTCCCGAGAATATTCTTTGGAAATTCCCAATTGAATAGGACTCATTTACACAGATTCGTACTACTAGAATACTTCACATTTCATTCTCAACTTTCCAGAGTCACTGTTTTTCTAGTTAAGGACTGTCACTTTATTACATCCTCACTATGATCACGGCAGTTGGCCAGCTTTCTATTAAGAGTCTTTTTAGTATTGTTCGGGTTGTGCTCGGGCAGGGGAAACCTCACTGCTGACAGTGCAGAGGCTGGGCAGCTAGCTGCCCAGGTCTCACTGCTTCCCAGCACCTAAGAAACAGCTCTGTCCTTTTAAGACAGCTTTGACAGTAAGCATGCAGCCCCCGGCAGCAAACTGTAAGGCATACACTGCCGGGTTTTGCCAATTATTGTTCAGGACTCTCAACCATTGTATTTCCATATAACCTATGCACCAAGGCAAGTGTGTACAGCGCACAATACTGTGGAATACCAGGAACTAGAGGGCATTGCAGCACTGTGGAATTAGTTGGTGGTGGTGGTGGTGGTGGGGGGAGGCTTGCTGCCTTTATCTACCAACCCTTTTGGAAAGCCTTCAATAACTATCCTGGAAAGTGGAGAGTGGCAGAGAGCAGGCCAGATCCCGTGCCCGTGTTTACTCTGAATTCAAACGAATGAAATGATCTTTACCCAACACTTACAGAATTTTCAGGGGAGGAGACAGATAAAGAGCAAGTTTGGAAGAGATTTTCTATCCCGCTTAGCCAACTCAGAGAAGTCGCCACAGAAAAATGGTAGAACACAGCTCCACGTTGGACCAAAGAGGCAACAAACATTGGAAACCACCATCACTTTGTAAGTGACACATGAAAACAATGTCTCTTCTTCACACCAGAATGGTTGCAAGGTTGTCTCCTTATTCAGCAGGGAAAAGGGGCAAAAGAATCCCTTTCATTCCCATTTTTTAAAAATTTTCATCTATTTTTTTTAAAGATTTTATTTATTTCAGGGAGAAAGAGAAAGAAACAGCATGAGAGGAGAGAGGGCCAGAGGGAGAGAAGCAGGCTCCCTGCTGAGCTGGGAGCCCAATGGACTCAACTCCAGGACTACAGGATAACCTGAACCGAAGGCAGTCGTAACCAACTGAGCCACCCAGGCACCCCTTTCTTCTTCTTTTTAAACATTTTATTTAATTGACAGAGAGCACGCGTACAAGTGTGCACGTATGCAGAGAGGAGAGTGAGAGGGAGAAGCAGACTCCCCGCTGAGCAGGGAGCCCGATGTGGAGCTCCATCCCAGGACCCTGAGATCATGACCTGAGCCAAAGGCAAGACCCTTGACTAAGTCACCCAGGCACCCCTCATTCCCATTCTTTTTTTTTTTTTTTTAAGATTTTATTTATTTATTTGACAGAGAGAGACAAAGCAAGAGAGGGAACACAAGCAGGGGGAGTGGGAGAGGGAGAAGCAGGCTTCCTGCTGAGCAGGGAGCCCGATGCGGGACTCGATCCCAGGACCCTGGAATCATGATCTGAGCCGAGGGCAGACGCTTAACAACTGAGCCACTCAGGCGCCCCCCTCATTCCCATTCTTGAAATGCTCACCTTGTGGGCATGAGGTGATTGTAGTTATAAACTTTCACAAAAGACTTGATCTTTGACCTCTTGGCGATTTTCTTCTTGCCCATGGCAGCTGTCACTTTGCGGGGATAGCGGTCAATTCCCGCCACCAGAGCATGGCTGTAGGGACGGTCTGAGGTGCCATCATCAATGTTCTGAACGAGTGAGATCACGTGTCACTGAGGGCCTACTTAGGCCCTGTGCCAGATGGAGGGCTTGCATAAAAGGAACACCCCCCACTCCCAGGTCTGAGACCCACTCTGGGAAAAACCCCCCAAAGCAGACGCTGGGGAGTGCCATGCCAGAGCGCAGAGAGAGTAATAGGGAAGGGTGGTATTCATTCCCACAACAGTCTGGAAAACCTCCTAGGAGGTAAGAGAATTAAAAGGCGCAGTATTAACACTGATGCAGTGTTTGCTTTCTATCAAGCATCTCTGCATCGCGTAGCTTCCCCTAAGACCGCACTGCTAGTGAGGGACAGAGGCACGATCCCAAAACTGGTGGTCTAACTCCAGAAACCAGTCAGAGTGAGGGGGGCAGGGGAACAAAGGATGCGCCCCGACCCCACCACGGCCAGCAGCAGGTGTGTGTGGCCAGAGCTCAGGGAGCCTCACCAGAGGCTACAAAATGTGGGCAGAAAGCCACCCGTGAAGGGTGATCTTTTGGACTAGAAACAATTTCTCCTCCTCTTACAGACTCCCGGCCGCAGCACTTAAGGTCTCCACACCTCGGCAACAGAAAGGCATCCCCTACAATGACTTCAGAGACCGGACGTTGACAACCTCTGAAGGGCGATGCCAGACACCAAGCGAGCGCTCCATAAATGTGGCCACCGTTACTTCTTAAAACCCTCCTTGGTAGAGGGCGCCCACTTCCACTCCCATTTGTTTTTATTTTGCACCTTCCTCCATCCAAAGCCCTCACGCATTCACCCCCACCCGCAATGCTCAGGGACGAATGCCCCCCAGGCTAGCTCTCGCACTCCAAGCTTGCAAGCCCTCAGAAACCGGCCCGATTCCCGAGATGCAAACGCGTCGCAGAGGCTCGCGAGGCTGGTACCTTCACGATGACCGCTTTGCGTCCGGAGTAGCGTCCGGCCAGGACCAGTACCACCTTCCCGGGTTTCATGAACTTGCCCATCTCTGCAAAGAAAGGAGAACGGACCGATCAGAGGCGCGAAAGCCGAGGCTGTGGGTCCGGAAACTGGGGCTGCGCTCCAGGCCGCCTCGGCCCAGGCCGCCCGCAGCCCCTGCTGGCAGGACCGGACCGCCACGAAGCCGCCAGAGACCAAGCAGTGGAGAGCGCCCGGAGCCACCCCGCAGCTAGACCCCCCGGCGGCGGATGGCGGCGGATTGGGACCTCCTACCCAAACCTCTACTCACCGACACCAGCCACTCGAGCCTACAGCAGAAAGGAAGAAAGGGCACTTCCGCTAACCTTTCACCCCCGGGAG